CATAGTTACCGAATCAGACCGTTTGGTTACCGAATCAGACGTCGACCAGACCTTGTGTTCAACCTTCAGACCTGTCTTGTGGCAGGTGCTGGCACTATTGCATGTGCGATTGCGCGGACCATGACCATAGCAGGTGACGGCTTGAACCATCAAGGCCAGCTGAGCAAGCCAACTTAATAGCAATGGGGCCTCCAATCTACTGCCTCCAAGGTTCAGTTTCAACCTGAGCCTCCGTCTTTGGTTCGCACTCATTGTCGTCAGCGCGGCCCCTCCGCAACTGTTGGCGTGACCGGAGCGTCAGGTGGAATTGCCATTGTCTTGAATGCCAGCACACTCGAGACTTGACAAATCCAGGGTGGAAAGAATAGAACGCTGCCCCCACCCCGGTATGAGTCAAGCCAGTTTAGTCTTCGTTCCAGGATCCTTTCTTCATAAATCTCAAGCATGTTCAACTTGTTTTAAATGAGATAGTATACGTACACCGTACATCATTACATCCTAGGTCCTAGATGTGGTTGGACTAGCTTCTCCCAGGGAAATCCAAGGAATAAAGCCACAAAGACCAAACATGGAATAACTAAATAACTAGTAGCTTCAAAGACATACTAATAGCCAATAGCGTCCTCGCTCCTAGTAGTAATGCCAGGAGCTACTAGTAGCTTTTGGCTCCTAGTAGCGATGCCCTTTGTTCCTAGTAGCTTCTTGTTACTAAGAAGCTTCAAAGACACACTAGAAAGCTTCTTGTTACTAGTAGTATTGGCCTCCACCCTAATAGCGATAGCCTCCACCTAGTAGCTTCTTGCTACTAGTAGCTTCTTGTTCCTAGCTAATCACATACTAAGTCTGACTCTCCACACGCATGTGTTCTGTGAGACACCCTAGTATGGCTGACAATGACTGAAAGCCAAGGAGCTGATCACCAACTACGGTCAAACAAGCGGCCATTCCTTTGCCAACTCCTTACAAGTCTCCAGCAAGGACCGCCGGCCAACAAGCCGCGGACCTTGACTTGAAACAAGCCGCACAGCCAGTGCCTTGATTACTATATATTACTATTACATTTTTTCCTGATCATGATATGCAAGCGAAGAGTACAAGTCATGGAATCAGGAGAAAATTACACAGATTTCAAAAGATGTCGCTCAGCACGGAGCAACAACAGCCACCCTCACAAACAGCTACACCAATAGTGTGTCAGTCTTGATATTAAAGTTCCTACCTGAACTACGAACCAAGTCCCTGTGTTGTATGATGACTGCAGATGTTATTTTTGCTGATTCCGACCATCACATGCTAGTCTTGATTCGATGCTCCGGTTGGTCAGGAGGGCTGGTATCTTGGCATGGACCTGGGTGACAACTACCCTCGAGGAGTTAATCTTTGGGATGCTTGGCCAGTTTCAGGATCCATCCACAAGTGTTTTCCCCGGCGAACCACACACTTCTTTATTTCTAGTAACAAGAAGCGCAAGAAGCTACTAGGGGCTCCTGGCCGTACTACTAGGAGCAAGAACGCTACTAGTAACAAGAAGTAAATTTGGTGCTTTTGACGAGGGAGCAAGTCGAAGCAAAGCAACTCGGAGGTTCTCACCACCAGTGACTCACAGTGGTCCCGATTTGGAAGGACGGCCTTTCCGAATTAGGGCTCCTGGCTACTAGCTTCTTTTTGCTATTAGGATGGAGGCCATTGCTGTTAGGAGCGATCGGACGCTGGCCTTACTACTAGGAGACGAACGGAACAAGGGGCATCGCTACGAACAGAGCGATCGGATGCTGTTGGACCGCCTTGCCGTCACCGGCGATGGCCCATCCGAGCCAAGGAGTTGAAAGGTGACTCGAGGAGTTGGCGAAAGAAGTTGGTCTATACTTTTAAGACCAAACATGGTACTTCTCCAACCAGTCCAGCCGGAGCAGCATATCCGGAATACACCGCAATTTCCACAGCCCAGCAAACGCGCTTTGGAGGAATTTGGTGGTGATTTTTGGTTTTTCTTCCTGTGGTAAAAAGAACTAAAGAGGTGGCTCGGTGGCCCTGTTTTGTTTGCTTTGTAGAGATGGCCTCCAACCTAGTAGAGATAGCCTCCAACCTAGTAGCGATGGCCTCCAACCTAGTAGCGGTGGCATCCAACCTAGTAGCCATGCCTCCAACCTAGTAGCCATGCCTCCAACCTAGCAGCGATGGCCTCCAACCTAGTAGCCATGGCCTCCACCCTAGTAGCCATGGCCTCCAACTTAGTGGCGATGGCCTCCACCCTCCTCCACCCTAGTAGCCATGGCCTCCAACTATGGCCTCCAACCTAGCGATGGCCTCCAACCTAAAATGGCTGGTTTGAGAGATGCTCAAGAACTTAGTGAAGTCTATGTTGAATTCCGCGAGCTCACTATTATATCCAGCGCAGCAGAGAACTCTTAAAATGCGAAAGCCTCGAGAGCCTGATAAAGCTGTGAGAGTAACTCTTGTGAGGTACTACCAGTGGAGCAATGACAACTATCTCTACACGGAATTGGCACATCCCGGTCTTCATGAAGTGGATGATACCGTGCTGGTCTTCTTCGCTGGAGAGAAGCCGCCCTTGGACAATTCTCTGGTGGGCAAGGCAATGAACGTCGCACGCAATGCCTGGAGCCCCACACAAACAGGGTGAAACCCACACAGCCACAAGGTAGTTTGTAGCCCATGAACAGCTTTATCGTCTAGAACCTAAGTTTGCCAAGAAACCTCCATGTATACTCATACTCCATCTATACTCTTGCGGCTTTTTAGCACCTTTGAGACAGGTTGACAGCTGCTGAGATGCTCAAGCATTTTCATAGCTCGTTTGGCCTCAAAGACTCAGGTTGCTTGGGTGAAGATCTCTCGGGATTTGCAGAATAGCTCAGTCTTATCCCCGGGCGAGGACGCATACGCTGCAACTCGCAATTTGATGCATGTTCCAGCTTGAGAGTGTTGCGGGACGTCAACATGCGCCATGAGAGTATTGCAAGTATGGTGAATTCACTTCCGCATGCAGCGTGAGCAAGAACATTGACCATGGGGATTCGGAAGCACCCCAACTCGGTGCAACACCTCATGGTGTGTTCACATGACCCACCGAACCGTTTGCGTTGGCTCGTTGTGTTTGTCAGGAGGAGATTGGGGGCTTCTACACCTTTGGTGGTTCGTTTTCTGAGCAGACGAACCGCGGAATCAGCTTCCTGACATCCTACACGGAGCGCCGCGCACATCTGGCAAGATAGACACAACATCCGATGTCTGAGAGATTGGTGTAAAGAAACACCGTTTAGAGAATGTAGATTTCACCTGATTTCACTTTGCTGGTTTACTGTCTTGTTTACTTCTACTATTCGATGAGAACATGCACATGTGGGATCAAGTGAGTGGATTCTGTGCGGGGGATCTGGCTGGAAGCCACAAGCGTGGACCCTTGAAAAGTGAAGATTTTCCTGACTGACTTGAATCCGCTTGTTCCAGGACCTGTCCCAAAGTGTAAGCCGGTTGAAGACGGCAGCAATCAACGGGCAAATTGTGCTGCTTTGGGAAATATGGTCTTCCTCTTCATACAACAGGACTGTTCGCCCGATTGTCTAAGTACCCAAGGATCGCCAAGTGTCAATAGTGTGTGGTCTTGAATTCCTGGCCGAGCAAGTGGCTTGCAACCACACCACAATCCTCATCCATGGATGACTATGGGCATCTATGGGATGTATTTCGATATCCGTGAAGCCAACTTAGTGCTTTGAGTGCTTCGTACATCTTTGTACCTTGTTTGCCACCTCAGCCAGTCTGTTCAGGACAGAGTTTATGGTCATTGACACAAAAGGTCAGATCCAAGGATCTTGGCCCTTAACGTCACTTAGCTTTCCGTTTGAGCTTCCCTTTGCGGACGATGTGGTGGTCAAGAACGGCAGAGTGGTGACTTACGTTGCCAGGTTGCATTTTGTGCCGGACACTGAGAGAAGACTACTAGTAGCGTCCTTGTTACTAGTAGTAAGGCACTTGTTACTAGAAGCGATGCACTTGTTACTTACTAGTATCTTGGTGCATGCAGATGACCGTACCCTTTGTCCAGGGTGTACCGCTAGGAAGGGCACGTTACACGTCGCGACCGTCGCGATCGTCGCGAATCGATTCTGACACATCGCGATGGAACGCCAACTGCGGCTGCACTGTTGTATACTGTTGTGCTCTCTTCGGCCCTGGAAGTCATGTGAGAAATCCAGAGACTTTGCATGTGTAGTTCACTTCTGGAAATGGGCAGCGGGGTGAAACATGGTGAAACCATGTGATTTCTTGGGTCTTTAGCCTACAATGTATTTACTGTGAATGTTTTTTGATGAAGGTTCAAGCCATTCTCTCAAACAATTCATACATCCTTACAACAGATTTACGTGTTTGTTGTTGCTACCGGCGTCATTAGTGACCCCTGCGTTTCGGAGCATTTTTGCTGTCTCGAAGGACTTCTTGACAGTGGGTGGGGGGAGGTGGGCGGGGCTAGCTACGTCGTGTTCTGGTTGTTTCACGACAGTTACGTCGTGGTATGGTTGTTGCCCGAAACATGGACCATGTTGGTTTTGTTGGTTCGGACTTGCACCGTTGCCTTTGACGGGTTCCCTACGTCGGCTTCGGTTGTGTTTTGGTGGTCGACCTGGTTCTTTGTGTTTGTTACATGAAGCCGCGGCGCTGAGCTGTTTGGGTTGTATTTGGTGGTTCTGTTGCGGTTGGTTAAGGTACCTTGTCCGGAGCCTCTGTTGAATCTGTGGCTTGAAGTGGACATTGATTATGTTAATTCTTTGATTTCTCTAGAAACTAGACACACGGGACCTCTTGACAGTTTTGTGTTGGACACGGTTCTGGACCCGGATCGTTGGACGTTGTCTTTCGAGGTTCTAGGCACCTCTCACGATCTGTTGTACTCTTCGTGGACCACGGTGTTTTGCAGTATCCATGCCAAATGCTCCACTGGACTAAACCCGCTCTTGATGAAGTACACTTTGGAGCTACCAGTTTCGAAGAAACTGTGGAAAATGGGCAAGCAGTGCCTGAAGTTCTGACTGCGTCTGCTTCGCGGAAGTCAAAAGACGCAATGGACCGTTTGTCATGAAAACATGATTTCGACACGAAACACTGCGAGGGTTAATGATTTCTCTCCTCAACATACGTTGTTGTCTTCTTAAAAGACGAGGGGGGCCTAAATTCAACCAGTTGCACGTCGCAATTCCAATGTGTCTGATCTTTCTTGAGGGGCCTCGTGTTGTAAAAACCATGCAAAAATAACGTCATGAAAGTATGAATGAAACACAAAGCCCTGTGTTTTCCCATAGATTTTTCGTTTCCGGGCATGATGGAAGGTGCTAAAAATCTCCAGGGTCGTTAACAACGCCACCACCTTGTTTTTCCTTCTCCTGGGCGTACACTTTCTGGGGCCGACACCAACGACATCCTCAAACAAGCGAATCGAAGTGATTTCCAGAAGCCACTGAACATGTCGGGTGCACCCGGCAGAAGCCGAGGTTGGAACCGATGGGAGCAAGGGCTCCAGTCCTTCGCTCGCTCGTTTTGAGCTTTGCTTGGGCTCGACATGTGAACAGATCACAGGTACCACAGGCACCACAGACAGCGGCGGCGGCAGCGACGGCGGCCAGAGCACCAGTGCTGCTGGAAACTCTGGTGCCTCAGCAAAAGTGAGTGTCGTGATTGTGGAGGCCATCGCTAGTAGGGTGGAGGCCATTGCTAGTAGGTTGGAGGCCAATGCGACTGGTTTGGATTCTTCTCCTTTCCCTGTCGCACAAAGCCGCGCTGCCGGTGAGGTGTTTCCTCTACTGCTCCGAATGATGTTTCGGCGTCAGGCCGCCAGAGTTGGCTTGATTTTTTCCCTCTAAGCATTTGGCCAACACACAGTACTAAGACATCCAGGGAAAATCCGAGCTTGATCATTTTCTTCATGTGCCAACCGGGTAACTAGGGTGTGTTTATGATTTAGTTGACCGGGCCCTTGATGCTCAGGTTCAATGTCCTTGATGCTCAGTGCTGCGACGCTTTTAGCTTTCAGAGCCTTTGGGATATGACAGGTCTTTTTCCAGCCACTCGTTCTGAGTGCTCAAAAAGACTGCGAAACACTTCTATTTTCAATGATTTCGATGCTCGATCGACCAGACTGGTTTGCAAGATGAAGATGCGCAGACGGTTGAGAACGTTGCTTTAGTGAAGATGTTGGATTGTACTTTATCAGTCAGGATTAAGTGATCTTCGCCATCTGACAGATGTAGGACTCCTGGTTATAGGTTCAAGTTTGAGTTGAAGGGCTGCTTCTTCCTGGCATTCATTGCTTGATTTGACATGAGTCTGCAAACCAGTGGTGACTTGCAGTTAGGATTTGTGACTTGCAGTTTCTGATACGCGAAAAGAGCCTTTCGAAACCAATACGTAACAGGCTGTGGTAAGCCTTCCCAAGAAGTGTGAAAATGGAATTGGGGTGACCAAGGCACCCGCCACTTCTATACTCTATACAACATTTTAGCAAGCACAATACACCCTGCTGTAGACAATGGCCTGGGCCTACACGCATGCTCACCATGGACCATAAGACCATAAGATCTACCTGTGGTTGCAGACTCCACGCAGCACATGCCTGCACATACATGTTGCAGATATTCAAAGTCCTTGTGGAGGCCAGAAAACGATACGGAAGTTAAAAAGTGGCGACGGAAAGATATTGTGGACCCCGCATGTTTTGCCACATTTTGCCACTAAAAGCTCACACCTTCGTTGATGCTGGTCACCTCAGATTTTTTCTTGCGAAACCATCAACCAGGATGGCTTAAACTGGTTAATTACTTCACTTATATACAGATTGGCCAGTCAGAGTGTGGCCAGTGTAGATCTGAAGGGAGCACATTGTACTCCACAAACACTGTCATCGGAACTGGAGAAGCGTTTATTTCAAGGTTTAGCTGAAGTTGGCTGTCTTAAGCGTACAAAAATCATCAAACATCAAGTTCAGCAGTTTGGCTAAATGTTGAGTTACTGTATGTTGGAGGCCATCGCTATTAGGTTAGCTAAATTTAGAAGACCGGCAAACAAATCTATGGCGTATCTGCATCTCACCGTCCGGATTCGGACGTAAGAACGTCGAAACATCAATCTATTTCCTTTGCCCATGCATGCCGTCTACTTTTTTGGCCTTTTTTTTTTTCGTGGCCATCCTCCTTTCTTAATTAAGGAGGCGCCTACTTAAGTAATTACTCCTAGCTACTGGACGCTACTACATATGGGCTACTACATATGGACGCAGGATAGCTCACGCTTCTTCAAGGAAGCTGTCCCCCGCCCAGAATGTGGTTCCTAGACTTTTAGGGAAAACCTGGGAGTGGAAGGCAGAGGTTCTGAGGGCGCAGGATTTGCCGATACCGGTTGGTTCCTTCCAGACACAAACCGAACGGCAGGGTTGCTGGTTGGGCCAGTATACACTTCAGGTTTTTCCAGACAGGCTTTCTTTTGGGTGTCAGCTTGCAAGCTCGCTTCAGTCCGTGTTCGGAACATGGACCCATCCAACGTGATGGCACCTCCGGCCGCTTTCGAAAAGCGGCCATTTTCCCGCTTTGCACAAAGCGGTGCATGACACGCGGCACTCCTTCCTGGGGCTGCGTTGTGGGAGTCCGCTGCGCAGTCACGAAAAGGACCGATTTTTGTCCGCTCACGAAATGGAAGAGGCATTAATTAAGTCAAGTTTACCTTGTCATCGATTGTTTCAATTATTGCGGTTTCTCAGGTGGCAACCAATCTAAAAACTATTGTTATAACTTACGTACATTACATGAATATACATGAACATATATCAACCATTATCAAGTTATTGTCCGTTCTTGTTTGACCGATGGCAGGTGAAAATTAGATATCAGTCATCAGGTTCACTGGGACTGTTAAGACCAGGTTTGTCCGAAGGCCCTCATGATCGGAGAAATGAGGATTGCTTGAATCAGTCTACAGCAGTCTACAGCAGTCTACAGCTCGGCTGAGGTTTGTTGAAGTTTTCGCGGCCGTCGTCTTGCTCTTCGGTGGCTTTCTGGAGCTGCACCACCCACATGCTTGAAAAAGCGCCGCATCGGAAGAATTCCGCATGGGAGATTGGTCATGTCGGTCTTCAAATCCGGCTTGTGGGGCTCGCCTCTTTGAACGTCTTCCCACCCGAACAAGCCTTTTTAAAAAGCACGTTCTACTTCTCTTTGGGTTGTTCTCCCTTTCCTTGCCAGGTTCAAGGGTCGTGGGGAAAAAGAACCTGGCGACTTGGGCTTTGACCCACTGAACTTGAAGAGTTTGCATCTCAGAGAGTCGAAAGTTGAGCAGACTTCGAAGTTGGTTTGACATGTTGGATGCAAATTGCTCGTCGACTCGTCTAATTGATTTCTAACGATTTTCTATCTTCACTTCTTCACTCCGCTCGCGGGGGGTCGGGTGATCCGCATGGGTTGTCCATCCAACCCGACTGGAACAAGTCGAAACATGTCATGGAGATTCTTCTGTGAAAGAGAGAACCCTGGTGGAGCCTTGGTCAGATATTGGATAAATGGCTCCTCAAAGCTTTGAAACCCAGATGGAGAAACGGAGAGAAATGGAGAAACCCAAAGACGCTCCTCAAGATCACCTGTTTGTTCTCATAGAATTTCTGAATCTCTAGATCTTCCACCATCGTATGAGAACCAACATCAATTCTGCCTCTAGCCACCAAACAAACTCATGTTCAGGGCCATCCCACTCTTTAAACATGTTTGGCCACTACTGACCTTCAACATCCTTCAACGTTATCTAAGTCTACCATAACCTGGCGCGTCAAGGTTACCGGCCGCCCGTTGTCTCCTCCTTCTTGCCAGAGAACAGGCCACGCTGTGTTTTTCAGGAACCGACGGTGAGACTCAAAGTCCTTAGAGGACAGTAGGGTGCAAGACCGCAAGAGAAACCATTCACTTCTCTCATGGCAATTTTGGAAGATGTGTCTTCTACTTCTGCTGTGACGGCTATCGTCTGAGAGTCCCAGTTAGTCTTCTTGCCTAGTAACAAGAGGACGCTACGGCATCGCTACTAGGAGCAAAGACGCTACTAGGGGCGCTCCTGGCCTTACTACTAGTAACAAGGTTCGCTACTAGCAACTGTGTTTTGTTTTTTGCGTCGTCTTTCGTGTCCTCCATTCTTCACACACGACCAATTTGGACCTGTGAAATGTGATCCTTAGGGGTTGTTCCACTTCCACCACCCTGCCCTCAGTGCCCAGGCCCTGGATGGCTGAGGCGCCGCCTCTGATGCGTTGAAGCCGCGAGGGGTGTTGATGAAGCTGACGTATTGGTCCAGATGAGCACCTGAGCATACTATTTTCACTTGTTATTCTTCAGTTAGGAAATTATCTAATTTATTCCCTATTTCATTTCTTGATTTATTCAATATATTTCTTATTCCAAGGGATTGGGTCGTTCCTAGACCGACCCAAAATTCGCAGCAAAGAACAAAGACAATGACTGGCTTCCCAATCCCTCTTCCAATTACCTCTATAGACAAGTATTCTGAAGAACTTGAAAACCAGGAGGCTACCTCTTAGAGAGTCAACCGGAGGAGGGAATGTTTGTTGCTCGAGCATCCGATTGAGGCCGAACTCCAACATGCTCGCGTTGCAATGGTCAGGGGCGCCTAGGTACCAGGTATTTACAAATCTGTTTCCCCTTGGCGTGGCAGAATGATGTCTTTGGAGGGTACGATGATGAAGCATGAGAATCCAACCGACGAGACATTTGTTTGGGATGTTTGCGGTGTCAACTTTCTTTTCCTTCAAGCGAAGAGCTTCTTTCTTTTAAAAAAACAAGACAACACATGTCAGTTTTTGTTTGTATTTAAGATGTTGCAAACAGATTGAGTCGAGGTTGAAACGAAACTACAGCAAGGTGGCATTGCTTTCATTCTTTTCGCCCAAGGAAGCTGAAGAAATCCTCCTGATACCCAGGTCCACTTCTGTTGCAATCAAAACAGGAAGCTACCGGAGCTTGCAGGGCGTGCAGGGATTCATGAGAGAGGTCCATTGTTGGAAAGCTCCAACGCCCCACACTGGCCCCACCCAGAGCCGCAAACAAATGGTCTCGGGATTCACCATCAGTTTCAGGATTCACCAAGAACAAGGACGCTACTAGGAACGCAGGGCATCGCTACTAGGAGCAAGGACGCCACTAGGGGCTCCTTGCCTTACTTACTAGTCACCATCGGCTTCAGCCCTTTCATCTTGCTCTGCACGTATGGAATCGAATCGCATTCCAGTGTTCACCCTCCATGGGCCGTCCGGTGAGAGCTCTGCGGGTGAAGCGGGTCTTTCAGCCCAAGGAGGTCACCAAGATCTTATCATCCTTGGGAAGACAGAAAGATTGGCCAGAAGCCCTGTGGCTCTTTAATAAGCTCTTGGACACGAGGTGCGCAGCGCAGAAAGGCGACCACTTGAATGTCTATCACTTGAATGCAACCATTGATGCGTGCCAACGAGGTCTGCAGTGGCAGTTGGCATTGAGGCTGTTTGAGACAGTACCCCAGGTAGCTCGAATCGTCCCAGATGTCGTGAGCTACAATGTGACTCTCTCGTCGTGTGAGAAGGCTGGACAATGGCCATTGGTTTTATGGCTTTTAGATGCAATGTCTAAGACAGTGAGGCCAGATCCAATCAGCTACAGTACCGCTATCAGCTCCTGCGAGATGTCTGGTAGGTGGCAAATGGCACTTTTTTTGTTTCACAGGATGTCAATCTTGAATCTCTCGCAGGATAGCGTAAGCTACAGTGTAGCGATCAGCTCTTGTGCAAAGGGTGCTCAGTGGAAGCTAGCTTTAAAGCTTTTCAGTGACTGCCCAGATGCGGATGTGGTTGCTTACAACTCAGCCTTGAGCGCTTCTCAAAGAGTCACTCACTGGCAAGCAGTTCTACGCTTCTTTCACGGACTGCAATCGTCTCATCTTTCTCCCAGCCCAGCCAGCTTCAGCATTGCCATCAGCTCCTTTGAAAAGGCTGCGCTATGGCATTTGGCTGTCGATCTGCTCCAACAACACCTGTCTTCAACGAACGGCCACGCGCGGTCCGAGCCAACGAGTGCGATCATCTTCAACGCGGCCATCAGTGCTTGTGCTGGAGCAGCTCGATGGGAACTTGCGGTGGATTTATTGGGAACTTTGCCTTCAGCCAAGCTGGCAGCAGATCCTTGACGAAATTCATGGACAGATGTTGGATGCAATTCCTAACATGGACACAGCTTTGTCAGATTTGTTGATCGTTCATGCCAATTCCGAAGTTGACGTCCTGGCTCCAGTTCGCCGCCCGAAAGTAGACCAAGCCTGCAAGTGTCATTTTCAGGTCTTCCAGCCTTCAATACTGGCCAGACCCAAAGCCCAAAAGACCTTGAAAGCCTACCCCAGTCTGGTTGAGACCCTGAAAGGCAGTCTTGGGACGGACTCAAAGGCTGAAAAGAGCGGGTTTGTTTTTGGATTCGCTCTGGTCTTAGACACTAGATTCCTCTAGATCGAGCCTCCAAGTGAGGACAACCTGAGCTTCAACGGCGTCTTGGCCTCATGTCGAAAAGCCTTACGTTGGCCATGGGCCTTGCGTGTGGCGGAGTTGGCCGCTTCTCGTCGGGGCGGCCACTGCTTGGATCTTCTCGGCTGCTCGGTGTCAGACGGTGTCAGACGGTGTCGGTCGAGTGGGTGGCTTTGGGTGAGGTCTCTGAAGCGAAGGTGGAACACGGAGCAGCTTTGACACGGTTTCTGGAACATAAAGCTAGCGATGCACTTGTTCCTAATAGCTTCTTGTTACTACTAGTAAGGCACTTGTTACTACTAGCGATGCACTTGTTCCTATATTCATCAATATTCAAGATAGAAGATATGCAGGTGACCTCCGTGTGAAGTGGAGTCACTTCTTCTTGTGCAGGACTTCTGGAACCCAGTCACACGGTTGGATCCCAAAACCAGGACCTGTGAGCCAAATTTCGGCCACGTTTGGGGATCGGATCCATGTTCAATGGGGACAATCCGAAGATGAACACAATATCGACAAAAGGATACAAATGGCCAGTTGCCAGTTGTATCCAGATCTATGTGGTGTTTCCATGTGTTTTCCATCCAGTTCCCTTTCAAAACATTTCAATATGGCACAACTCTGGGAATCAGATGGGCAATGCATCAAGCATCGAAACAGCTTTGTCAACTTTGGGCGCTGTCCATTGAAACAGGTGTTCGGGCTTTTGATTGCCTTTGAGGCACCTTTTCAATCCTTTTCTGTGAACTCCAGGCTTGGATGAGCTGTTCCGCTCCTATGAGGGTCAGAACATCCAGAGCCAGTGGTTAGCACCGGCGTTTGCGGCATCTGCGGCATTTGCCATAGCTGTGAGAATTGAAGATTTGAAAGCACCTGAGATCCTTGATCAGATCGATCAGGACTGGGGCTTTGGAATCGCCTTCCCTTTGTTTCGAAAGGCTGTCAGCGAAAGCACAGATCCTTTTCGGCAAAGGTACACAATTCTTGCACTTAATGAAGCTGCATTGTGGCGCTTTGAGAAAAGGAAGCTGTGTGGGCCCGGGCAGTGGTTTCTTTTTTCGGAACGTGGGGAACGTGAGGGGTTCGGTGTCTGTGTAGCCCGTAGTATCCAGTCTGAACTCCAGACCCAGTAGTGCAGGAGATTTCTAGAGAAAAGAGTGGAGTTTTTTAGGCACGACTCCAGAGATGTTTTCCAGCTTTTAGGTTAGAGGCCATCGCTTAGGTTGGAGGCCATGTCGTCCCTCTTGTTGAGTGTTGGCGGGAACCGATGGATCGATCCAAGCGAGCTAAATCGAAGCATTTGTCCACCCAAAGCTCCCACCAGGACTGTAGCCATTCATTGTTTTTCGTACTCCTGGTGCATTTTTGGGTTTCGAGATGGGGGAACTCTACTGATTGTGCTTCAAAAAAACTGAGCCTGACGTGGATGGAAAAGACCTTCAAACTTCTAAACCCAATAGCTTCAAAACAAGCTTCTTCATCCGCATCAGAGCTCTCAAAGAGACCTGTCCTTGTCAGAACCAGGACTTCACATTCAGAGAACTAAGCCGAACACTTTTGTTTGGCATAAATGCTTATTCTAATTTAAAGTGTTTTAAACATTTTAAGCATTGACTTTGCATTGATTGCATTTCCTTTGACTTGAACTCGCAGCTGTGGCTCTTTTTCCTTTGATTTCAGAAAGAAAGCTGCCATGCGGGCACACATCTCACGATTCGCCCACTTCAACTCTTCCAAGAAGCTGAAAGGGACACGAATCGTGCATCTTGGCTCACCAAGCCCTGTGGAGAACGTTTTTTATCTAGTGTGTAGTTGGCAAATGGATCATTGTCAGTTCCGCTGCCCTTATCTGCGTAGAATGGGCCAGAAGACTTGGAAACCCCACTCACGGAACGTCTTTGTGCAACATTTAGGTCTTTTGGTCTTTCTTTCTTCTCCCAAAGGTGTAATATATAGTCGGTAGCTTGCGGTCAACAAAAGAGACAATATACGATGTTCACCGCAGGAGCAAAAATCTTCCCGCTTGGGAAGCTTTAAAGCTGTTGGCAGAGACAGGTGACGGGCGCTTAATCCAAGCAACTTGGCCGCAGAGAACCCAGATTTTCTTACTGCTCGAGGAAGAGTTCGAACTACATGTCTTCATGATTTGCAAGACACTGTTAGTAGTAGCATTTCCTTCATCTGAGAGGTGTTGATTTAGAACTTCATTTGTAGGTCCCCAGTTCGGAAAGCAAGTACAAACCGGAATTGATGGATCAAGACATATTGGCAAGTCAAAATGCTCAACTCGTTTGATTTATATCAACGGCAAACCGGGGACTGTAGGTGGTATCCACCAACAAGCACAGAAGTGCAAACTGGTCCCTTGAAGGCTGTTTTGCTTCAGCGAGGCAGTGGTCTTCCACTTCTATGTGAGCAACCGCTTTTATTCATTCTTTACTGAAGCAGTCTACGGCATGCTACGTTTGTTTGTACAACATCAGAAATAGTCTGAACGAGATACCTTGATTGGCTACTAAAGTAGTCTGAACGAGATACTGCGACATGACCTGCTTAAGTAGTCTAAACAAGAAAGGCCTCCCACATAATAGATAGATATAGATAGTGTATTTGAGTTTAGTCATGAAGAACTACCGCCGCTCATGAAATGTTTGTTAGAGGGAGCTTAGCTTCTTTAAACTGCAGAATGGCAGTATTTGGTAGTTACTGCTCCACACATGGGATACTGGAATATCAAATACATACGCTTTGCAATGCTTGCCTATGCATAATCACTGTTCGGAGGCCATTCGCGATGGTGGACATGTGCCGGCCCGGGAGTTTACGTCATTGCTGAGCCTTTGTGCGAAAGCCAAGCACTGGGAGATGGCTCTTCAGCTGTTGAAACTTCAGTCAGCAGAAGGCCAGTCCAACATCTACAGTTTCAATGCCGCCGTAGGTGCCTGCGAGAAAGCCACAAGATGGCAGCTCTCATTAACCATTTTTGCCAGCATGCCTGAAGCTGCAGTTCAACCGGATACGGTCAGCTACAATACAACCATCAGCTCCTTGCAAAAGGGCACCAAATGGCAACTTGGACTAAGCATGTTCTCTTCTATGTCCAGCGCCAGTATTCAGGCCAACACCATCAGCTTTAATGTAGCTCTTGGCTCTTGCATGAAGAGTACAGCATGGCAGCTTTCCTTGTATCTATTGGAGACGATGCCAGAGAAAGACATCCCTCCGGATGTTGTCAGCTACAATACAATCATTAGCTGCTGCGATAGGGGTCAAGAATGGACAGTGGCCTTGCAGTTGCTGGAGAGCATGCCCAAGAACAACATCCAGCCTGATATTTTTACCTACAATGCATCCATTAGCGCTTGTGCAAAGGTGGGGCAGTGGAAGCACATTTGTGGTTTGTTGCAGGCAACTACTGCTGCTTCAACACATCCAGATGCGAGAAGTTTCAATGCAGCCATCAGTGGTTTTCAGAGATGTACCCAATGGTGGCTTTCCATGCATTATTTTGAGGCTATGCCGAAAGCTCACATCAACCCAAACACCGTGAGCTACAATGCCACAATGAGCTCACTGCAGATAGGTTCAGAGTGGCAAAGATCATTGGCTATTTTCAGCGACATGGACCTCGCAAGAGTTCATGCTGACACTATAAGCTACAGCGCTGCGATCTGCTCAAGTGAGAGAGGTGGACAGTGGCAACTGGCTTTGTGGCTGTTTTTCTCAATGTTTGATGCAACGATACCTCCAAATGTTTTCAACTACACGTCTGCCATTAGCTCCTTGGAGAAGGGCGATCAATGGCATATCGCCTTCGAATTATTGAAGCAAATGCCACTTCAGAAAGTTGACCCAGACCTGATTTGCTGCAACACTGCAATCAGTTTATGTGAGAAGTCCGAGCAATGGACACTCGCTCTGGATTTTCTAAGCACCATGACTGCAACGCTTTCTTTGAAACCTGACACATTGAGTTTCAATGCGGCAATCAGGGCATGTGACAATGCTGGACAATGGGAAGTGGCATTAAGCATTTTTGCCAGCATGCGCGAAGCTGCACTTCATCCTGACACTGTGAGCTACACGGCAACCATCAGCTCCTTGCAAAAGGGCACCAAATGGCAACTGGGACTAGACATGTTCTCGTCTATGTCCAAGGGTGGTATACAGTTGAACACCATCAGTTTCAATGCAGCTCTTAGCTCATGCGAGAAAGGCTCACAATGGCAATTTGTTTTGTATTTGGTGGAGACAATGCCAGAGAAAGACATCCCTCCGGATGTTGTCAGCTACAATACAAT